GAAAATCAACTGGCATGGGTGCTAGCACACAACAACAACCACTCATTTGAACTTAATATTCTCAAAAAGGAGTGGATTAAGATGGTTTGGACACATGGTCATATTTTTTAAGCTCTCTATTGCAACAATCACCCATAATTTAATGAAAAATATAAACAGCATCTAACCAACCTTCAAAACCGTTGCTAACAATTCCAATAGACTACATTTGATCCGAAAGCCGCGTTCCTGCTGGTTAGCATTGGGCCACGACTTGACTGATTTGACTATGAACAGTGTTTTGTGCCTCTGTCATCACGGCCAACGCGCCCTTTTCTATCAGTTTCTTGGCCAGCGATTCCCCTAGTTCCACAGCCTTCCTCAAGCTGGATGGCGAGGCGTCTTTGTGGCCCACCAAACCAACGAAAAGATGTTCGTTGTTGTCGCCAATCTTATCACCGTTGCCGTTGATAACGGGCGTTTCCGTCGATTTTCTCAAAGCGGCGACTGCAAAAAATGCCATCTTTCAGCCAGGAGCTGACTTCGTTTTCACTTTAATTACCTGCTTTCAGGTTCTTCAACACTGGACACACATTGAAGCCTGATTTCAGCGTCTCCACCGTGGCCCCATTCAGTGGAGGATGTCCTACAAAATCCTGCAACCAAACAGCAGGTTTAAAGATCCAGTGATCATTCACAGCTTTGTAAGTCCGTTATTAGAGTGGTATTTAGGCTTGCGCCTCTTGTTCAGTGTTGAACTGCTGTAAAAGTATGTGTAAATCATTGCGCACCTTAATATCGCCCTGCAGGAATGGACACTCGCCCATAAAGTCAGACCCGATAGGCATGGCCACGGGGCATTTTTCGTGCGGGTCATCATTGAAAAGTTCGCTGGGAACTTCGATGCGTTTCTTCTTAGGCAGCGGCTCTGTCGGGCTGGTTTTCATTGGGCAAACCGCGCAGCATTCTTGAAAGATATTGCGAAAACGTGAGGTTGTTCAGTGAGGTTGCACGGAAACCTACCGATGTCTTTGATTTCGTTGTCGCCATTGATGTACGGGCACTCAGCGCATCGAATTTTACTCAAAACGGGCAGGACGCCGACGACTTCGTCCACAATTTCTTCGGCCCCGTCTAGCGACCAAACTGCTCCCTTCAGCGCAATTTGCACCTTGACATCAAAGCGATCCAAAATAAAAAAATACGCCGAGGTTTTCGAAAAACTACCTACCTGCTTCTCCTCGATCATCTTCAAGTCCGAAGTGACAGCGACCGGAGCGCTACACCCGCCCCCTAAAGTTTTCAGGAAACTCCGTTCTGCAATTACACGCAGCGCAGTTTGCAGGTCGTACAGCGGCTCGAGTAGCTTGATTGTTTTCTCATCGTTTGCCCTGCATTCTACGGCTATGGCCCCTTGGCCGACGGCGTAAAGAAAGTCATCGGCGTTCAACATCTGAAATCCCACCCTTTGGAGTTAAGAAGGTTTGGACTTGGAGCGAAACACTACCTTGGAAATGCGGTTTGTCCATCCGATGCGATTCAGACCGGCTGACGCCAAAATTATTGCGTGGTACTTCCCCAGATCATCCAATTTTTTCAATCTGGTGTTGAGGTTGCCTCTGATGTTCTCCACTTTCAGGTGAGGGTATTTTTTGGCCAATTGCGCCGTTCGTCTCAAACTGGACGTCCCAATCACACTCCCCTCAGGCAACGTGGCCAGGGTGTGATGTTTTATATCTTTTTGCAAAACTAACGCATCGCGCGGGTTTTCCCTGGAAGGTGAACGAGCGCTCATTTCTACCCATTTGGGTGTGATTGGTGATTGTCCCCGGCAAGGCCAGTTAAAGTAGGGAAAAACCCGCAAGTTAATACAGTAAAACCTCTTTAATCCAAACAGATACTTCACTCCAAAATGTTCCAGTCAGGAGAAATTTTCCGGGAAAAACCCATTTTTTACAATCTAACTTATGCTGGTTGGCTTGACAAATTTTAAAACCGATATGGGATTCGACAACTATTCGTCACAAGCGAAAAACTATCCTGGGCCAGGGACCCTTAGATCCATTGGAAAAACTGCGACCAAACAAAGTCGGGGAAATGCAGTTGTTGCACCAAATCTACGATGAAGACAAAAGTGCTCTTTTTGGGAAATTACTCCCTCAAAACACATTTGCTGAACAACCTGAGGCATCCCAAGTAGAAAAATGAGCAAGGAGAGAATTACATTGATAGTTCGTTCAAAGGCCTTTGGGACTGTTGTTGACTTGTTAGGTAAAAATAGAGAAATTTCAATTAAGTACAGTGACAAAGGAAAAAATGGGTTAATCCGAATTCGCCCTTGCAATAATTAGTTCGGATTACAGATGTTATACTGTAAATTTAATTGTACATACTTTCCTGACTGTGTTTCAATTCCAAATCAAAATTAATTCCTGGGTTTCAGTCATGTATTGTCTCTATTTATCAATTAAAATACGTTTTGGTGTATTTTTCCACCATCATCAGTTTTTATGTGTAGCGTTGTTGCTACTTTAAGCAAGACAATAAATGACTGAAACCCTCGAATTAATTTTGATTTGTAAATTTAATGTTCCTCACCCACCTACCTACTCAAAGTGGCCCCAATGGCCATTCCATTAGGCAAGCTGGTGGGTAAGTCTTTCAGTGAGTGGACAATAAAGTCTACCAGGCCTGCAGATAGGGCCGATTCCAATTCCTTGGTGAAGAGCGACTTTTCCCCGATTTTGGGCAACGGAATGTCCAGAATTTGATCGCCCAAGGTGGTCATCGTAACTACATAACAATAATATTAGGCGCGGTTGTCCTCAAGCCTCAGGCGCAATCCTCGTGGCACTTACCAATCTCAAATTCTCGATCGGGGTGAAACTGTTTTAGTAGGCCGATGACATGTTTGGTTTGAATTAAGGCCAACTGCAATAAGTGAAAATGTTTGGAAAGTAATGGTTAAGGCAGTTATGCGTGCGGCAAACCAGCAGACTCGCAAGTCATTGCGGATATAAGTATGTAGTTAGATTGGAGATACTTGATTTCATCACTAACATGCTGGTGGGACTGATTATTAGGAAATTAATTAGTTGGGCATGATAAAAATGATTTAAAAGCTTACAGGGGAGTAAGCGACGCTTTGAACTAAATTCTAATTAAGCGAATTTAGCTGGCCAAAAACAAATACCCTGCGAATGCTGAACAATGGAAACGTTTCGCACACAAGTATTAGCATTATTATTTTGCAACCCAAATTGCTTTCATTTCAACGGAACTTTGAATGTTCAATGTGCGAAAACATGTTAACATTGGAGCACTTCCAAGTGCCTTAAGATTAGTGCAAGCAGTTCTGCCAGCTTTTACCTCGCTTTTCCTTGATCCCACTCGAAATTTCAGGTCATTGGTCATTTTGAGTCGATCTTGTCTCTTTTAGAGAGCCTGAGAATAACCACTGGAACACTCAACACCAACGAAAAACACTAACTGAACTCAAGGCAACATGTGCAGAACTGTTTATTCGTTTTGCTGCCAGTTATCATGAAGATAATTGACCACTATAAACAACAGTATGCATTAGTTTAATAATTATGTCACGACTTTCTAATGGGGAATAATCACATAACCTGCAAAACCTCAAAGTACGAGCCTGTTTACCAATGCACTCGTCAGCCAGCACTGATTGATATATACATAAATTTGACATAAATGGCCCACAGAATTTTGACGTCAGAATGCCGGGCGGTCGGTTCTGGAAATACCGTGATGTTTGGTTTCAGATGCTATTTATTGGAAACTTCTTCAGTTTCTAGAAATTGGAAAGCAGGAAGTTTAAAATCAGTTCAGGTAATATCTGACTAACAGGCTTAATAAGTTTTTTGTTTTTAATGTCGCCCTGATCAACTTCTGACAATTTTAACAAATACCATATTTGTCTAGTAGCCAGCACGAATTAGAACGAGAAAGTTTTCTTTGTTGTAAATTATGAAATAAAGTAGAAAGCTAAACAATTTTTTCCCTTTGAACTAGTGGAAAATCTCGTCATTTTGCATTCAGTTACAAATTCAGCTTGTTTCACGAACTTTTGAAGAATCGCTTGCCCGAGTTTGCGACATCACAATCGATCCACTTTTGCTTTCTCGCGGTCTGACTTACGTCGAGTCAAGTTTGTGTTGTGAGGTTATGTACGACGTTTTTGAAAGTTTGATAGACAACTTCAAAGTTGTGCTACTGTTTAAAGGCCAATTTGAATTTCGAAAGGCAATTTCCCATGCATTTCTTTGCCTCAAGCGCTTTCCCGGACTTGGAAGAAGTCGCCAGGGAATTGGAAAAAATCGAGGGCAAATATAGCCCAAAAACAACTAAAAAACACTGTAAAATGCCCATGGAGTTACGCGACAACTTAACAGTACTATCAAAGGTATATTATTTATCAGCGTTTCTTTTTGATGTTTTCTTTTGTCGTTTTCCTTCGATAGAAGGTACTCAGATTTTCCAATATTCACTGGATTAGTATATGCTTCATCCCAAGACTAGAGAGGCAAAAGCCCTAAAAGCGAAGGATCTAACATCCGCAAAAATAATTAAAACTTTTTTCACATACGTTCCCAAGGAGCAGCTAAACGAAATCAGAATAAGTAGACGTGGTGTGGTGCACATAAAAAAGTTATCCAACCTCGTTTTAGTTTTTTAAATGGAACACCCTGCATATTTTCGATTTAAACTGCATTTTAACACAACACTGCATTTTAAATTCTCTTCAATTCCTAGAAGATCAAGCTGCGATACTTTTTCTTATGATTCTTATTGCGACCTTATCAATGGAATAAAATATAGTCACTTTTATTACTCTCGCCATTACGCAAACGATAGTAAGTTCTATAAAGCAAATCCTGAAATAACTATAATTTTTTTAAACGTTGTGAATCAGGGAACTGTTGTATATTATTAGATGCTCAAAAAGTTTACCTAACATTAGTAAACACGTTTTGTACATTCGCATTATTTGCAGGAATTCGATAGCTTCGGTTTACCGTCAATAGATATGGAAAACCCATTAATAGAGATTTTGAAGGATGTGGTGAAATGTTCGCGAGACTTGGCACAAATTCACCGAAATACCTTAAACATCATACAAGATAAAAACATACAAAACGTAGTGCAGCGCAACAGGCACAAGGAATTGTATGTAAGTTTACTTACATTAATTAAACAAACAAAATTTCTCAATGAAGTTACTTGCCGTATTGATGAAACGCATTTTAACGGCCATGTGAAATTGATAAATATTAAACATTAAATTGGGATTTTTTGTAGGATAAATACGACGACTCTCTATCACATATAGATAAATTGCGGGAAACTTGCATGGACATGAAGAACAACAAACATTCACTAGTGAAAGACATTAAGGAGCTGAAGCAGCGTGATCGAATACATCAAGATGAAATGGCCAATCTGAAACGAGTTAATAATGCGAAGCTACATTCTTTGGAACGCAAAGTGCAAGCATTGAATGCGGAAATTGATCGTTTGAAGGAATTATGCGGCGAGGACATCGGTGCGTATTTTCAATTCTGTTCAATATCGGAACGATTCCAAGTAGAATAAATTGCATATTGATTGATCTAACAGGAAAAATTCAGTTTCAGAATGTACTAAAAATGAACTGGCTCTGAAGTTACTAAAGAAGCACAAAGTCGACGAGGGCATTTACAAATCTACCATCCATACATTGCAAGAAAGAAACCGGGAGCTGAGGGATCAAATGCTGAATTTAAAGGAGGACATTATTTTAGCCAGAGCGCATAAAAGTAGTGCTAGTTAATACAATGACATTTTTTCATTTTTATTACTGATTTTATGTAACTTTCCTCTCATTTAGACTGTAGACTTTTATATAATGTGATTTTCATCATTTCCCAATAAAAATATTTAAAATGAATCGGTTATTTTATAATACTACGACACTTTTTGGTCAACACTAGGTATTTTCGGACGTTATAATGAACCATTGATTAAATGCATAGCGACTAATGAACGACTTGTAGAAGTTAAAGGTTAAATTATATAAAAGGTGTACTCGATTGTTTTTTTCTTTGAAAGGCGAATGATAACAGCTTGAAGTCCTGAAAACAAGCTAGGATTGATTGTTCTGACGTATATCTTTACTACTATATATTCCACGTGATTATTGACGATTATTTGACGAACAGCTATTGTGATCGAGTTACACATGGCAAATGCTTTCCGTATATTATGGTATTTACAGTGGAGGTTTTTTTGTTAGCTCATTTTCTCGCTGAATATGCAAAAGAATCATAATATCGACATAAATTAATGAAATCGTTTTTTTAAATTGGGGTAGAGGTAGAGGTTTAGTTTTGGGGGCGACTGAGAATCAATCGGGAAAGTTGAGGCTGCATGTAAAAAACATCAACGCCTTAAAGTTAAAGAAATGGAACAAAATCGAAATGACGCCTGACGCAAAAAATTCTTTAGCAGTAATTCCAAACAAAAAATACTTCTTGTCGGCAAAATGCCGAATTTTAATTAAAAAATTACTTTACTGAAGACAAATCAGTTATCGCTTAACAGGTTTAAGTTACAGTAAGATAATACAAGAAAAGAAACTACTTTTGCATTAATATCTAAGTATTACAAAGGAGAACGTAGGGATAGAAAGGCACCTGGCATCTAATTCCAAAAAATTGCCTTCCGTTCTACTCAGCGCTTTTTGTTGATAAATCTGCAGAAAATCGAAAAAACCGAGAAAAAACCTAGACGGATTTGGAGGTATTCCAGACTTCGAAAAAATTGCTGATTAAAACTGTATATATTTTGCAAAGAGATTCTGTTGCATCTAATATTATCTAATACTTTGTACGTAGAATATTTAAGTTTAAGCAAACTTAAGATAAATAATTCGAAAATATTTTAGTATTACATTAAAATGGAAAGATAAACAAAATATGGAAAAAATAATCAAACACGAACCATCAAGCACCAAATTTGAAAATAACCATTTGAAAATGTGTACAGCCAGCAATGCCTTTTTAACCGAAAGCAATTAAGATTATCTTGTAAAAAAGACCAGAGATTTCTCACTAGGCGATGAGTTAAAACTCATTAACTCAAAGAGCTGCAACAACTCAAAAGCGCAACTCAACACAGTGATATCCAGACCTAAAAATTATAGGATTAACATTTGAATTGTGACTAACAATTAAACGACCAGGATATATTTACGTACGTGTAGTATTGAAAAATCCAAAATTTTTCACGGAAAAAGTTAAATGTTTAAATGCAAATTAGAGACCTATTTGAATACAATACGATATAAAAGCTCAATTTTGAGGAAGAGACATTGTTTGTCAGTGCCGGTTAATCAGGCTAGAAGAAAAATTAATTGTCGTAGTAGTGGTTTGTCGTACGTTGTGGTCGCATCTCAGCTCCAAAAGGTTGATATTGAAGAAAGTGCTGTAAGGTGTGAAAATGCCGTCACAGACTTCAGGCGATTTGCTTATGGAAGCCAAAGATTCGTCTATCGAATTTGGGAGGGTACTGGCTAATCCTCCCCCAGGAGAAGAAATTGTCATAACCGGTAAAGCATTTTAGAGAAAAATTAGATCCTCTAATCGATCAGCGTCTAAAGTCGTTTCCACGTTACCTTTCAGGTCTGTCGGGCCAATATCCAGATTCACGCAATGTCCATGAATTCAGGGACAATTTATTTAATAAAATTGACATGGTATCGGACGACTCCAGAAGATGGGAACCGAATCATCCAGAAATTCCTCAGAGAGGCGGGAAACTCTTTGATATTGCAAAATTTGATGCTGGATACTTCGGTAATAATTGTCTTTTGCAACAAAGTTTTGAGCATTTCAATCAGTTTATTTTATAACTGTAATAGTAATCCGTAACTTATTCGAAATAAAACAAAAGTAATATACAGATTTCTTATCTTTCCTGGGTATCAGTCAAAGTGTGAAGTAAAAATTTTGAATATCGTTTATTTCGTTACGTTTCGGCGAGACATCAGCGCCATCATCAGATTTAAAATTTACACAAACTACCAACACCAATTCACAATTAAAATATGTTGTATACAAACTAAAATTTGTAAAGCGTTAAAACATTCATCAGTTCTTGAGGGAAAAAATCCTTCCTTTTGGGAGAGCAAAATATTTGAAAAACTTATAATTGGTAAACATTACGTTCTTCTAATGTAATTTAAAACCTAATGAAATAAACGATATTCAAAATTTTTACTTCACACTTTGGCTGAGACCCGGGAAGGAAAGAATATAATAACAATTACACACAGTCAAGAAAATAAATTAAAAAAAGTAATATACAGACACTTTTTCCGGTAGTTAAAGCTAGGCGATTAAATGGATGCAACCTAACAAAGATCCAAGAAATTTTCGTCCTGAAATTGTTAAAATCTGTTTTCGTCGTTTCCTGTTCTGTTTCGTTTAATTAATCAAGGGAAAAGGATTTGCGTAATTCTCCAATAAATAAAAAAATCGTCCATATTATTCATATATTTGCTGGTGGAAAATATTTTTGCTCAAAACAGCATATTTTAGATAGACAGAATTAATCTATTTGGTACCATTTAAAAAAAAACTCGAAACGATTTTTGGGGGCTTCTTAAGCGTAAATGTGCCCAATAAATCGAATCATTCATAAGCATATTTTACAACTTACGTTGACTTTCGTAATATTCTAAGACCTTCTTTTCGCTGATATAATTTCTAAGGTAACTATAATATCTGATATTTTCATCAAAATATTAAACCATTTTTGTCGACGATTGTAAGCGAATAGCAGTAATCAATTCAAGACAATTATAATTTTTCCGGAAAAAGGTCGTGTTTATGACCTCTTTGTTGAATGTCATTACGAGGCATTGTTTAAAATGTTCACCCGTGTATATTAATGCCATTCAGTTTATTTGTATGATCTGATAAATTGAATACTACATGAGTAAAATACCCCTCAAAATTATTCTGTTTTGTTCCATATTATTTTGTTCTGATGAAAAAAGTTCAGATCATCTTTAGGTTGATTCGCTTTGGTTTTCAAGACGTTCAAGCCAATCAGCAAACGTTATAATAACAATAATTTCATTAAAAGCTACAAAAATGTAGCAAAAAACGACTAAAAAGTCTGTTCAAACGAAAGCACTGAAAGTCGGCTGATTCATTGGAGAAAAAATAATAAAGCCTCCGTTGGAGTTGAGGATAGTAAACTAATACAATGACTATTTAAAAAGTGATTTTCGTGGGCCTTGAATAAAATCAATTTCAACTTGAATTTGATTCGGACAGGCGCCATCTGATTCATTCTTCTCCTGAATTAAAAATCGGGAAGATAGTCAGAAGAAAATTGGAAAGATAGTTAGATGAGAGTATTGATAAATTTTATGATATTATTCATCAAATCAAGATATCCAGTAACTTCTCACCAGACTTATTGCAGTAATTAACCCACGCTGTATTGAAAATGCATGAAAAACAATTTCCCGATCTAAAATAAGAGATTTGCTGCTTTAGGTTTTCATCATCGGCAAGCACATTCTGCTGATCCAATGCTCAGACTGTTGCTGGAAACCGTAGTATCAGCCATATTCGATGCTGGGCTCAATCCCTCTGATCTGGAGGGTACCAATACGGGGGTATTTGTTGGTGTTTGTTTCAGTGAGAGTGAAAAATATTGGTTTGTTGATAAACCGGAACCTCAGAGCTTTGCCCTAACCGGGTAAGTGAATAGTTGAAAAATACCATTTCCTTTATGAACTGGTAAAAAATAACAGTCGGGTGTTTTTCACAAACTAATCTCAGAATGTTGATTTTATTGCGGTTGTTATTTACTACTGGGATAAGCCGTAAAAACCGATAAAAAATCGTTCATTTCGGTTTCGAGAATAATTACAAGCCTCTGAGGTCTATAAGAAAATTCAATAATGCTGAGTAAATCCGGTCAGCGTTTACAGTGTCACAACATCGTAAAATTAATTCGAATGATTGAAAATTTTTGCATCTTCAATGATTTTTGACAAAACCGTTTAAAAAAGGTTTATTAATAAATTCATGCCTTTTACGTGTTAATATATTTATGTATTTTTCCAGCTGTGAACGATCCATGATGGCCAATCGCATCAGCTACTTCTTGAAGCTGAAAGGGCCATCTTTTGTTTGTGATACGGCCTGCAGTAGTTCACTGTATGCTTTTGAGAACGCTTATAAAGCTTTAAGAGAGGGGCTTTGTGATCAAGCCATCGTGGGCGGAGCCAATCTCTGTTTGCATCCGTTTGTTTCACTCCAATTCGCCAGGTAAGTGCTCACTTTCATTTTTAGATCATTTATCACTTACGTAGTAAAAGAAAATTTATCATGCACTGATCTGCTGCTCAGTTCAGAATGGGGTCGATTTTTGAAATACCGACTAAAATAAGAATTCATCAGTAATCAGTAGACAAGTATTTTGAGCACTTTCGTTCGTGCGGCTTTATGACGTAAATAATCCCTGCCGAGAGGGTCAGAAACCATATGGTAACTGCGCGTGGCCTTGCAATCCGAAGTCCGCAGTCTTGAATGAGATTAAATGTTCATTAATTAATAAATAAATGTAAAGGATTCATTAATTACTAAATCAATTCTAGACAAGGGTTTACGATCAAGTTTTCTATTTCTTCGACAATTCCCTTATAAAGACGGAAAAAGTAGATCATAACTTTTGTTAAGTGCAATCTGTAAATATGATTTAAATGAAATAAAGCTCTGGATTTTTCATAGATTGGGTGTGCTGAGCGCAGACGGTCGTTGTAAGGTGTTTGATAAAGACGGTAATGGATATGCTCGTTCTGAGGCAATATCCGCTATATTGCTGCAAAAAGCCAAGGATTCTAACCGGATTTACGCTACAGTTTTACACGCTAAGACTAATTGCGATGGATATAAGGTAGAGCACTAATTTGTTAAATTTTAATCACAAAATTAAAAAACTGTCAAGCAAATAAACTGTTTTATTTTGTTCAATTCATCAGTTGATTTGGAATTAGTATTATTTTCATCATTCTTCAGGACTCTGGAATTACATATCCATCGGGTGATGCTCAAATTAAACTGCTGCAGGAATTTTACCAAGAATGCGAACAGGTGAAGCCATTCGAGTTAAGCTTCTTAGAAGCGCACGGAACAGGTAAGTCATTTCCAGAGATTTTGCATATTTTGTGGAGGTATTTTAATGGATTTTAATCGAAGACAAAAAGCTGCAATTTGGATAAGCGCATTATAAACAATTAGTTTACTCGCAAATGGTCGAAAGCGGAGTTCAAATTAACAAATTTGCCACAGTTACAGACATCGATTAAACACCGGAATAATTGTAATATTCTATATTAGAAATGTAAGAAAAGCTACTTGACAGAGCAGGGTTTGATACATTTTCTTAGCCAATTTTTGATCATTCATATTTTATATCATGTTAATTCGCTGATATCTTGAACAGTATCTTTGATAATGGCAGTAACGTGTTTACTTAATGGTCATTATTTGCCTTATGTTGCTACTTATATTATATGACCATAAACCGATAAAATTACTTTAGTGCCGTTATTTGAGTGATTTAATGCCGAGTTTTAGGTACGTTGAAATAAGAACTAATTCAACACACCAGTGCAGGTGTGATTAAGAAATTAAATTTGCAGAACTAAAATTATAGTTTTTTATGTCAATAAGAACATTTTATTAAAACTCACAAATGCATGTGAATGTAGTAACAGTTTCTTGGTTGATTTAGGTACAAAAGTAGGGGATCCGGAAGAGCTGAAAGCAATGGAAGATGTTTTCCTTCCTGGACGAACTACACCTCTATTGATTGGTTCTGTTAAATCAAATATTGGTCACTCTGAGCCGGCATCAGGATTATGCTCAATTACAAAGGTACATATTCTAAACTCTAAATTCAGTTCCTAAAAAAAATTCCAACGGAAAACTGTAAAACGAATGAAATTTTTTCAATTTTTTCAAATTCCTAATTTAAATTTTTAAAATTTATTTTCATATTATGTACCAGTATGTTCATAACGGTTCCAACTACCGAAATGAGTGATTCTGAGCACGTTACTACAGTTAATAGTTACTTTACGAAAAATATTTTTTTCACATCCTGTATATCCGAAGCGAAAAAACTGAGAGACAAATAAAAAGGAAAAATGCGTTTTTATCCAAATGAAAAATTGGAGATTTTGAATTTTCCCATTCTCATTGGCGATTATGCTATTCATTATCGTCATCCAGGATGAATTTATTTTTCAGCGATTTCGACTATAATTAACTTACAGAAATATTTAGATTATTTTGTACTTTGAATAATATTTTTTGCAAAAAGCATCTGCATTATTTGTTAATTACTGCTATCAATAATTCTATTCTTGGGAAAAATTTGATTGTTATTAATAATAACTTGGATGTCATAGACGGTTGAATTATGCATATTTTTCCGTTTTGAGCGCAAAGTGCTTAAGAGTCATCGTCTCTAAATTACATTTCAATATTTTTTTATACGCATTTTTTATATTTGCGTTATGTACAATCTCCATATTATTCTGCAGTGTTTTAGTTAGTTTCATTGGCATCAAACTCAATAAATTATAATTATTTGAGAAGCCTATTTTAGCAACTTAATAACCAGCTAACAAATTATATTTAGGCAATAATTGCTGCCGAAACGGGATTTATTCCACCAAATCTGTACTACGAGGTACCGAGGCCAGAGTGCAAATCACTGGAACAAGGAAAGTTCAAAGTTGTTACAGAAAAGATGTCATTCAGGGATAATAAGGGTCTTATAGGTGAGTGAGTAAAATTTCCTATTTTACCAATCTAGATTTTTGTATTTCCTGCTATATATTTATTTTTTTCTATTACTGTACAGGATTTGAGCCCATAGTATTATTGTTTTTCTATTTATATTAACACGGTTGCAGATGAGCGTTAATTTGTGTGTCCCAGTATTATTTATTAATTTAAAGACTACTGGAACGATCACTGGGCAGTTAAAAGATCTTCAGTCTTATCTAGAATGCATACATAAGCAAAAAACAAACTTTTTTCTTTTTGTTTTGCATGTTTTGCAGTGTCAGTTCGAATCCTCTTTGAGGTTCCTCTGAAGCGTTTTTAGCATCTTTTTTTATTGTAAATGTCGGTTTTGTAAAGTAAATATAAACCATTAATACTCGTAGTATTAATTACATTATACATAAAAAACAGACCGAAAACGCCTTCATTAGAAAACCCACTTCCAACAGTAATTTTGGAAACGTTCTCCAAAAATTTGCAATAAATAAGGCATTGTATAACACAAGTTAAGCATTAAAGAAACACTGTAAAATTATTTAATAATAAATAATACTCCTGTTACCCCTTGGAAATATACGTAGAATAAAAGTGTTGGTGTAGCTCAAATCTTGCAGAAAAATTAATACTGCACAATGAATAGTTTCTTCTAATTGCGAATTTCACGAGGTGCTAATCCAGACGGGTACCTTCGTTTTATAGACTCCAGAAGAGCGTTTTACCCAGTGAAAGCGTCTAATTTTAAACCCTCTTAGAGGCAGCTCAAATTAGAATTAAAGGTAAACAATTATGAGAACTGTTAAACAGAAGACAACAAACGCATGGTTTTGCAACTAGTGCTGAAGAGAACAGTAGACGGCAAAAGCGGATCTTGCAAGAGAACAGTAAAAGAAATATTTCAGAACTAACAAACGTATGATATTGAAAGAACATCAAAGTTGGTAAAAAAAATTCCCATTAAGAAGAAAATATCACATTCTTTGAAGCAAAAATAGTAGGGAAAGCTCTGCTTAATGCGTTGACTATTCCTCTGGGATTAATTCTTTATCGCTTGTTTTAGGGATAAATAGTTTTGGATTTGGTGGTGGTAACTGCCATGTCCTATTGAGACACCACACTAAAACAAAGGTTAACTCTAATAAAGTCGACTCTATTCCGCGACTTGTGTGCGTAAGCGGTAGAACTGAAGAAGCCGTAAGCTCGCTGTTGGACAGCGTGACTGAAAACAAGGTAGACGTGGAGTATGTGAGGTTGTTGCAAAATGTATTCAGGTAGTAATTACAGTGAATGTTTGCGCATTTTTCTATGTAATTTTCCATGGCGATTCCAGGAAGAACATTCTCGGACACGAATACAGAGGATATTCGCTGTTAATGAACGAAAAGGAAATATCCAGGTCCATAGATTATGTATCGCCAAAGGTCGATAAATTAGTGGTTTTCTTCAGCGACGTCAGCAACATGTTTACCAGAAATATTGAAGAGTTATTGGCTATATTTACTGTTTCAGATATGGTTAAAAGGTGATTAATTAATGATATTTTCAGCTACCGCATTCAAACCTCAAATGCTTTAATGAGAAACACCAATCCTTAATAATAAACTTCTCTACAATACCTTGTTCTTGATTGGAATGAGAGTATGTGTAATTTTTCTTAATTTTGCAGTAAGATTTTCTAAACGTTGGGTTTGTTTGTTAAAACAACCGATGCTAAAAACTTTACTAAATTACTTTACTAGCAGTCGTAAACGACTCGTTAGACCTATAGCAAAAATTAGAACTGACAACCGCTTTTGTAAGTTTCTGGTTTAAATAACAATGGAAAACAGTTCTGGGAAACTAAAAATCAAAATTTTTTATTACTTTCGTTCAAAGACAAAAGATGGTTAAAACAGGACACTGGACAGGACGAAATATCATGCAAACAAAATCCGACTTTTTGGTAATTTTAAACTGCCTCCCACAGTGTCCTCTAAACAGCTTCTGGAAATCTCTCATCAATTTCTATACCTATACACTTTTTAGATTGCAAGAAATTATGGCGCAAAACTCCATAAACCTCTCAGCGATTCTGCTCAATCCCCAGCAACGCACTTTGTTTGAAAAAATCCTGTTCAACTTTGTTCTTCAAATGATACTGGGTGACCTGTTGAAAACATTGGGAGTTCTGTCCAAATCTACCAAAGTTATTGGCGTAAATCGTGGATTCTCGTTGGGAGTTCTGATTTCTGCATATTTTGCTGAAAACATTACTCTGAAAGAGTGCGTGGAGTCTGCGATTGCTATAGCTAATGCTGGCAAAGACATTAACGCCAACTTTAGTTCCGATCTTTCTAGTTTGATTCTAGGGAGTAAAACTGTAGGTAAGTGGTAATCATCTCATCATGCCCATCACTTTCACATACTTAAAGACTAATTATTTGCTTCAGTGGTCAATCAATTGAAGGAAAAACTTGCCCGGATATTAAGCCAACCGAAACGCAATGACAAAATAAGATCTGAATCCAATGGCCCCCAATTTTCAGTTGATTATCTCATGAAGTTTCTCAGAGATCCCACCGTGCCTGATGATGTTCGTAAACACCTGGTTAAAGACGTTGCTATTTATGAAGTGGGCAATGGAGATGTTTTAGCAATGGTGAAGAAACTCTTCAATTACAATGACAAATTCCTCGTGAGCCATGGAGAGGATGTGAGAGGCTTCATCACCTCAATTGGCAGGTAAATTTATTCCTCTTCAGTTTCCGGAGATTTTTGGCAAATTAATGGGTTTCAGATTGTTTGACTTGGGAGTGAATCCCCAAATTCATAAGATTTATCCTCCGGTTGCGTTCCCTGTAAGCAGAGGAACCCCAATGATTTCTCCCAAGGTAAAATGGAACCACAAGAGCAACTGGTGGGTCACTTCATATGAGATGGAAAACGACTTGCGAATGGGAGTTAAGAGTATTAAAGTGGGACGCAGTGTTTCGGCTTTTGAGTACATGGTTGGGCATGTTATCGATGGTAACTACATTCAAATTTTTATACATTTGAGAGCTGCATTTGAACCAATTAATTGGGGTTTTCTACATTAAAAAACCATTTGAAAACATGTTAATTTATGCTTAAATGTGCAGATCAGACGTTGATTTTACTGAACATAAAAAACCACTTTTTTTAAATCTTTATTCCTGCATCTCTGCAGCTATTCTAGCAAGAACTCCCGTATCTGCAAATTTTTGTTGTGTTGTCTTAATCGAGACTTTCTTCAATGCCCCTCGAGTCTGGTTTTTTTCCGGGTGAAACAAGCTTGGAAGCTTAATTTGAAGGCATAATATTATAAAACGATATTGCTCAATTGAGCCGCGATTAAACGTTGCTTTTGGCTGTAGAAGTTAACAAAAAATACATATAATCATAGTAAAACTTGTTGTTTTCTAACTGTAGGTCGAAATCTGTTTGCTGCCACCGGTTACCTTTACCTAGTTTGGGAAACTTTGGCGTCTATTACCGGTCTTCTAATAGAAGAAATGCCCATTATTTTTGAAAATTGCAAATTTAAGAGAGCCTGCACTATGCCAGCGGATAATATCAAGCTAGAGTTGATTGTAATGATTCAACGTGGGAGCGGAAATTTCGAAATTATTGAAGGTAAGCAAATTTACTTGTGTATGATGTTTTCAATAACTACAACTACTTTTTATTCATATTTTCTTGCAGGTGATGTGCCAGTGGTTACTGGAACTGCTAAATTAGAAGCCAAAGGTACAGTAATGGCAAACATTCCATTTCCAACCGGAGTATCCGAACACGTAGCTCCACATATTGTCTCAAAAGATGTCTACAAAGAGCTAAGACTGCGAGGATACAACTACAAGTATGTTTCTTAACTCTAAACTAAACTTTTACGTGTTCTATATATGTGTGCTACACACTGTGCATGTTAGGCTACACTCTTTGCACTAAAGAAGGAATTCTTTATCTGATTGATAGCTCAAAATCACTCGAATTAATTCGATCAACTTCCGATTTGAATAAGCGAAGAAAGGACTCAACAACAAAAAAACCTTTGAGAACGAAACAATTCGATTTAAGTACGCGATCAAATGATTAAAAATCAAACAGAAGGTTCGTGATATCAAAAAGAAAGCGCGAAGAAAGTCGACCGATAAAAATCATCTTATATCAATGAGTGGCAATTCTATTAAAATTCGAGATAAATGAAACAAATTTATTGTAGAAAAACATTCCATTTTAGGGGTAAATTTCGGTCAATTAAGTCGTGCGATATCAGCGCCCAAACTGGAAAAATTAGTTGGGATGGAAATTGGGTATGCTTCATCGACAATATGCTACAGCTGAAAATCCTCCAAGAAGATACCCGAATGCTTTATGTACCAACCGGAATTGAACGAATTATAATCGACCCTAAAAGGCACCTGGAATTTGCAAAGAAAATCAATGAGGAGCATCCAGATTTGCCTGTTATCGTCTCGCCGACAACAGGAATTATTAGGTATTAATAGCGCAGACGACTTTTTTAAACAGTAAAAATATAAACCGACTTTAGATGTGGAGGAATCGAAATCAAAGGCCTAAATGCCAGTTCTATAGCCCGACGAAAATATCTTGCTACCCCGGTGCTAGAGAAGTACGAATTTGTTCCCAACGTAGCCAAACTGACAACAGGACAGGCTGTACGAGTTAATATGCAGATTTTACTAGCAAATCTGTATAGCATTAAAATCAAGGCTGTAGAGTTAGTCGATGATGCGACTCCCCCAGGACTTTCACCTTTAGGTAACATTGAGGTTTTCGTATTTTTTTAAATTAAAACTTATACACTGTTAATATAATGCAAGATTTTTTAAATTTAATTGCACTAAAAATAATTATTTGGGGCGACACAAAAATTGATCCTGAATAAAGTGAACATTTTTGGTCAATAAAGTCTCAGAATGTGTTTTTACATGCTTTTATCTAATGCTTATGTTTCGAAACAGTTATTTCCATTTCTGGACCATTTATTGTGCAAAACTGCAAAGTTTCTTGTTTCCATTCAAGTTTTGATGATTACATTTTGCAATGTTTCTTACTTTCAATTAAAAGGCGATAAAAAAATCTAAATAATGCGTGCATGTGCATTTTGGTTTAGGTGAACTAGTCCATGATGTTCTTGCGGATCAACCTCTGATTCAACCAGACATTATTATTCTAAGTAAAACTGAATTGGATGTGAAGAATGTAAAAGTGGAGGACAAACGCCTGTTAACAGAGTTAGACTGCAGTCTTGTAGTTGGATCACAAATTTTGCAACGCAGTAACGTAAGTACACAGTTTTTAGTCGGTAGACTTTAGACTCCCACAAAAATGTAGTTTCAGGCGTCCATTAGTCTATAGAAGCAGATACTCCATAGATGAAACATTTCTTTATATCTCGGATCAATTATTGCGATTGATCCAAAACGTTGAGCTTTAGTTTTTATATCCATCTTATAATTAATTTCTGTTATTTGTCGAGAAGCAAGTTTCTTTCAGTTTAAACAATATCCACTTTTGTTAGAGTAGTTTCATATTAGAGTTTTTCTTCCCTTTTCCCAATCAGGAAGACTTAACTACTCAAGAAGAACTCAACTACTGAGCTTTTGAAAATAAACCTGCAAATTATTTCAGATCCTGCAATTAGCATTTGGATCCACCAAAGAAAATGGCTTTATTCTATCACGAGAGCCTCTGGACTTTGATGTTTCACCAGCCAATCATCCCTCTTTGAGCATAGTAACAGTTTTCGAAACAGCGGACGAGAAGCTGGTGTTCTTTAAGAAGAAAACCGAGTTTGTTCCTCCGAAAGTAGTGAGTAAAGAAGACAAATTTATTTAAACGTTTTTTTGATTTGCCAGCAAAATCTAGCTTTTAGCAAGAACAATTAAACATCGCTGGTATAATTGTGGAATTTTTTTTTGGTTTATTAGGTGAATGTTTCTACGAAAAACAGACAGTTCACATGGTTGCCTGAACTGCAAAAAGCAGTGGAAACAGACGGAAATGTTGTCGTTTATGCTCAAAACGAACCAATGAATGGAATTCTTGGGCTAGTGGCTTGCATTAGACGAGAACTAGGTAAGTATGAAGTAAAGAAACTTTTTGAAAATGTATTCAATCATCGCATTTCAGGCGGTCAAAACGTCAGGTTGGTTTTTCTTCCGGAAAACGGGCCCGATTTTAGTGCGAATTTGCCATTCTATAAAGAGCAGCTAGAAAAGAATCTGGTGGAAAATATTTACAAAAATGGACAATGGGGAACCTACAGGCATTTACTGCTGGAACAAGTCGACGCTTTGAATGTGGAACATTGCTACTTAAATTCACTTGTGAGAGGCGACTTGTCTTCGTTGTCATGGATCGGAGGGCCTCTAACATCTAATTGTTCGTTAGATCCCGAGCATACTTTAGTTTCAGTAAGCAGTTACTTGCACACAGTTTTCTACTTCCTAAATCGTTCAATTTTGAGTGTTTTATCAACGTTTTAAACATTGATTAAACTTTCCACTTGCTTATTTATATCAATCACATAAGTCGTTTAAATGGATATTTAGAAGAAGCTTTAAAATGTATGTTATGAAACCAAGTAAATTTAAATTTTTTAGGTGTATTATGCGTCTCTAAACTTTAGAGATGTGATGACGGCCTCTGGCCGTATTAACGTCGACGCTATAACACGCGATAGAAGAGAACAGGAGTGCGTACAAGGATTTGAATTTTCTGGTCGCACTCAAAGGTAAGCGATAAAGAATTTTCCAAAATTTCCGAAAATAGACACAGCGCTTTAAAGTTTATACCGTTTTCTCATATATTCTGCTTCAACTTAATTGTATTGTTGCTTTATAAATAAATATTTCATAAAATGCATACATGCAACATTAACAAATGTATCCAAAAATGTATCTTAAATTTGTTGGCAATTTTTGCAAATTCCAGAATTAAAAAACGTATCATGGCAGATAGTTTTTGATTGGAAACGAACGAACCAAAAAAAACGTGTACGTAATTTGGCAAACAAAATATTTTAAATATTTAATAGAAAAATATTTTACATGGCTTGAAAATGTGAGAAATCAACCATCATCTAAGATCAAAGAAATTAAGCTTCCAGAGAAATCCGGGAACCCACTAAAGTGGTTTAATAGCTTTTGGAAACGCTCAAAAACCTATACAAGTTACGCATTACGAATAATTCGGTATTCGATAAGCCTGAGTGAGAGTGAGTGAAGTTAAAATATGAAAAACTAGGCAAAACAGAAAAACTGCCAGGTTTCAAATAATTTACAGCAATCTTCTCCAATTGATTTAATCCCAAATCTTGCTTCTACTGAGGGTTATATTTTATATTTTTAGTTTTAATTTCCACTTTTTCAAGACAATCCTTTTCAGCGGTCAGAGAGTTTTTGGAATGGTTACGAACGGCGCCTGTTCAACATTGATAGAGGCTGACACCTACATGATCTCTCCCATTCCAGACGCCTGGACATTGGAGGAAGCAGCAACGATTCCCGTCGTTTATGGAACCTGTTTCTTTGCCCTCATCAAAGTAAGTGTTCGTAGGAAGAGGGAAGTAAATTATCCATGGGAAACCATATTGATGTGTAGAAAGGAAAAATGAAGCGAGGCGATACAGTTTTGATTCATTCGGGAACTGGAGGTATTGGACAAGCAGCGATTCATTTAGCTCTTTATTTTGGGTGCACCGTCTATACGACTGTTGGAACGCAAGAAAAGAGAGATTTTTTGAAGAAAACATATCCACAATTAACCGGTAAGTAATTAGAGAGTTTTTGCTCAGTATTCCAGTTTTTACTGAAGTTGATCGAAGAAAATTAAAAAAAGCCTACTTAATTAGAATGACACATCAAAGTTTTCAGAGATGGAATAAGATCAGTTTTCATTTAAAAAATTGCTGTTTAATGCGAGGGTTTTCTGTTTTATAAAAACGAAAGTGTGACAAAATAACAGAAGAAGTTTCTACCTCGACCAGCTTGTACACATTAATTTTCGGTATCCTGCATGAACGAAAAACACAGCAAAATCTTTAGAGGGCCAGAAGTCTAAACTAAAATCTGCGCTTCTTTAACGTCGGTAAAATGAACCGTTTCCCAGAAAACGTCTATTATTTAAACCGTTTTCAATTAATTTAAACTTCGTCGAAATGGAAATGACGAATTGTTAACTAAACCAGTTATTTAGTAAGTTCAACATGGGCTTTTTGTAGTGTAACTCATTATCGGGCAATCAACAACTATGGATAAAAAAAAATCGTTAGGTGCCCCTAGAGATAAAAATCCGTTGGAAATAAGTCCTGAGAATTGCGTGTCCAAGTTGCGATTCAATTTAATTAGTTTGCAAAAGAACGTGTAATTTGAAGTAATTAATGCCCAACAAAAGAAAAAAATGTATATTCGCTTCACTACTTTCTGCTTGCTCCCTTGTTGTTGCATTAGACAAAAGGAAAACTCTCTTGTTCTTCTTATTCAGACTGTAAATATGTGTTGCTGGAAAACATCCAATTATACGGTTGTAAAAAAATTAATTTCTAGTCATAATGCGTTATCTCTGTTAACTTTTCTACTTTCTTTCAGACAAAAATATTGCATATTCGCGAGATACGAGTTTTGAGAAACACATAATGGCAATGACGGGAGGACGAGGAGTCGACGTTGTGCTGAATTCCTTGGCGGAAGAAAAGCTTCTTGCATCTGTCCGATGTCTAGCTAAAGGAGGACGCTTTGTTGAAATAGGAAAATTCGATCTTGCCAGCAACAACGAACTGAATTTGCTGCTGATCAGCAAAGATGCCAGTTTTCACGGTAGGGTCCAGTTCACGTTAAACATACTTTTTATATCCTTTCTTTGCTATTTAATAAAGCTAAAAAAAACTAATTGCTAAAATTCAACTGACTTAAGCTTTTTCCTTGCAGGTTTGATGTTAGATTCCCTATTCAAAGAGACTCCGGTGGTCAAACACGAACTGTTGAACTTCATCTTCCAAGGTATGGAGAAAGGGGCGATTCGTCCAATCAACCGAACCATTTTCGGAATGAATCAAGCCGAGGCAGCTTTCCGCTATATGGGCACGGGAAAACACATCGGTAAAGTTCTCATAGAAATCAGAAAAGAGGAGCAGGAGCCAATCGTAGAACCTTCCCATTTAACCTTCCCAGGACTCCCCAGGTAAGAAACAGGAGGTTGTTTTAACGATGTGAATTTTTTTCATGAAAACAGGCATTGAATATTCAAATTCTGCAGGTATTTCTGCGATAGCAGTAAGTCCTATATAATTTGCGGAGGCCTTGGGGGATTTGGTTTAGAACTGGCTGATTGGCTAACTTTGAGAGGCTGCAGAAAATTGATTTTGACATCGAGAACGGGAGTCAGAACTGGATACCAGGCATACAGAATATCGTAAGTGAACGTATTTTCTTATTAATTGATTTTTACTTTGGCGATTTTTCTTATAATTTTTTTCTAGAATATGGCAATCATACGGATGTACAGTACAAGTAGCCACAGATGATATTACAACATACGATGGCTGTTTGAATCTTATTACGACGGCAAACCAGTTGGGCCCTGTTCATGCTATTTTCAATCTTGCTGTAGTTTTGAAAGACTCCATTTTATCGAACCAAAGCGAAGAGTCATTCAAAGTGTCTTTTTCACCGAAGGCGTATGCAACTGAGTATTTAGATGGCATTTCCAGAAAGCATTGCCCGGAACTAAGGTAAGCACGGTTGGATTGGACATAAAACTGGTTGATAACTATGGGAACATACAAGATATCATTTTTCAATCATCAATTTTTAGAGACTTTGTCATATTTTCGTCTGTATCTTGCGGTCGAGGAAATGCTGGCCAGTCCAATTATGGCATGGCAAACTCTGTGATGGAACGAATATGTGAGCAGCGAAGAAGCGACGGTTTTCCAGCTTTAGCAATTGAATGGGGCGCAATTGCAGATGTAAGATTCTGTATTTCATTAAATTAATTAAACCGATTTAAATTTTTCCCTGCTTGGACAAGCCTGGAAGATACATTTTCAATTACCAATCAGCAACGATTATAACATTTGAATTTTGAGAACAATATTTAAGGAGAAGACAGAGTTTGAACGACGAAATTGAACTAAACGGGGTTTTCTAGGTGGGTCTAGTTGCCGAAATGCAAAATGAGGCAATGGAAATTGAAATCGGAGGTACCTTGCAGCAGCGCATCACAAGTTGCTTGCAGGTAATGGATATTTTCCTCAAGCAGAAAGAAGCTGCAGTCGTGTCCAGTATTGTAGTTGCGGAAAAGAAAAGTGGGACTGGTGGAGCTGATAATATTGTCGATGCTGTTGCAAATATTTTGGGTAACTAAGATTTCTACCAGTTATTTTCGTGAATGTTAGTTAAGACACTTAAGACTTTTTATCCAAACTGTTCACTGAACTTTGGATTCTATTCGCATTGCGTGTTAGTTCTAGAAGTTTAGAAGTTTTTTAGAAGTCATTATTCGGATATAAAAGAACTCATAAGATTTAACCAGATTAGATACAAATTAAACAGACTAAAGCAAGCTGGGATTTATTTGAACATCCTCCAAGATTTGATAAAACCAAAGATGTTGCTAGATTTTAGTCAATTGCAAAGTGAAATTGACAAAAATTATTAGCACTCGTTCAGGGGCGGTTCCAGCTTTCAGGTCAGGGGAGGTCATCTAGTAGAAAATTCAGTCTTTTAAGAACTAAGAATAATTTGAGCCACAAAATCCGTTTTGGCATCGTTGGATAGAAATTCGAAGAGTTTTGACCCCAAAAGCGAAATTCGAATATCAGACACTTAGGTGCAAGATTATTCCGAAATTTCATGTTTCCGTCCCGCTTTTGATCGTTTATTTGAAGCAAAAACGCTCATTTTTACATCATTCCAGAGAAAAATAAGTGGCTTTTTTAACAAATGCGCAAAATTTTTAAAATCGGACGCACAGAAAAAATGTTATCACTGCAAAACCGAAGAGTTCATTTTTTGAGATCACCCTATACATGAAAGAGAAGAGTATTTCTTTACGGCTTTAATTCTAACGTCCAAAAAAATGTTTATAGCTCACCTGACAACATGCCGAACTTTGAGAAATTTTACATTCTTTCAATTTCCACCTTGTGGGTTAACTTCAAGTAATAAATTTACAAAAAATACACAAACTGCCAGGAAAATAATTAAACTAAATAACGCTTCAGAACAGAAATAAAATCACTCGCAAAAGTCTATTAGCGCGTCTTAAAAAATCGTCCTCCAAGGAAATATTCTGTTTGTTTTAGGTGTTAAAGATTTGAAATCCGTACCTCATCATGCAACTCTGGCGGAAGTAGGAATGGATTCGATGACTGCAGTAGAAATTAAGCAGACATTAGAACGGGAGTACGAAGTATTTTTGACTGCCACCGATATCAAAAGCATGACTTTCGCAAAATTAGTTGAAATACAAGCTGAACGTGATGCAACCGCACAGAATGGTAAGCAATAAATGTGTAAAAATCGTCTCAAAAATTAAGTAAGCCAGTTTTTGGAAACGGTCTGATTTAAGGTTTGCGTTTGTGATCACAGCCAGAGTTTTAATTTTATTTAGTGTCTGAAAAGTTCAATAGAAACACTGAATAAATTTTCTCTGTCTCCGGCCCGGACTCCTCCGGTTTTACAGCTTTTGTGTCCATTTTCAGTTTTTTAGAGTAGGTTTCTATTGGAATATTTGGTCTCACATTATTCAGAACAATTCAAGCAAGCTTTATTCAATCATTTTTCCTGCAGGTATTAAAAAAGAGCCCGTTTTAAGCGGAATGGATATGATTCTACGGTATATGGGAGATGGTTCAACAGCAGACATTCCAGTTGTACCATTAGAAGGAAAGCGCACAAACACTCAACCCCCATCCACAATTTTGCTGCTTCCTGGTATTGAAGGACTTATAACGATTTTAGAGCCTCTTTACCGAAACTTAGAGGGCGATTTAGTGGGACTCCAATTTCCGACCAATAATCAGAAAGACAGCGTAGAAGAAATGGCTGCGACGTACTTGCCAGTAAGAACTGGTTTATATTATCAACATTTTTTTAGTGGGGTTTTTTTAGCTGAAAAATTTGTCTCCGTTTGTTAAAAAAAAATTTTCGAATTTTTTAGAAAATTCGAAAACGAAATTTCTAAAGTGTTTTTTCTTACGGATTGATAGTGTGCTCGTGGTTTACAAAAAACAATGAAGCAAGCCTTTAGCAAAAGGACTACTACTTAAACTCAAGCTGTAAGAGAAAATTAAAATTAGTGACGAAATTTATTTTATCAAAACCAGTAAAAAAATGGTAAACTAATAATTATTAAAGAAGGCTGAGTGGAAGCAAGTCTATAAATATTCACTCTGAGTTTTCGTTTTTTAACAAAAAATTTGTTAATGCTTTCATTTTGACTAGAAACTCAGTGTTCAAAAAATAAAGATAAATAAAAGTAATAGTGTTCTAAGAGTCTTTTGAATTTTCAGGCAATT